ATGGCAACATTTCCTAGAGGGGGCGAAACACCCTTTTGAGATATGGACTGATCATAAAAAATTTGAAACGTTGAAAATCCCACCTAAACTGTCACCTAAACAAGTGCGTTGGGCACAACACTTCAACTGGTTCAATTTTACCCTGAAATACATCCCGGGTGGGGGGAGAACTTTATGGCTGATGTCTTGTCCAGGCTTCCCCAGTAAAACAGCTCTAAACTGAGCGTGGTTCATCCGGTCATCCCAGCTAAGAATCTGGCCACACCAATGGTTACTAGAAGCCAAAACCTTGTTGACTTGGATGTGACTACGGACCTAATGAACAAACTCAAGGAGAGCCTTGAATCCGATGACTGGTTCAAGAAATATTCTGATGAATGCACCATGAAGGATGGACTGGCTTGGGTGGAGGCTAAATTGTATGTTCCTGCTACCCTGAAACCGGTCGTCCTTCAATGGGCCCATGATTCAAGAATGGCGGGCCATTTTGGATTTGTAAAGACTTTGCAGTTGATTAAGAGGCAGTTTTGGTAGCTTTCATTGAAAAAAGACATTGAGTCCTACATAGTCAGTTGTCCCGCCTTTGTGGCCGTAAAAAGACCATCAGGGAAACCCCAGGGTCTCCTCCAAAGTGTTGCCCATCCTGGAGCCCCATGGAAGGAGATATCAATGGATTTTATTGTCAAATTACCAGAAAGTCTAGGATATACCATTATTTGTTTTCCAAACAGGTTCATTTTGTGCCTTGCTCCAAGATCCCATCAGCGAAGTCGTTGGCTAAATTGTTTATTTCACATGTATATAGATTACATGGTGTACCTGAACACATAATTTTAGACAGAGGGGGTTCAATTCACCTCCCTCTTTTGAAAAGAATTCCTGAAATTGATTGGCTCCGCCCAAGGGCTATGCTCCGCCCACCATCATCAGGCTAATGGAGCTTATGAATGGACTAACTCGGTTTTGGAGCAGTACCTCCAATGTTTCATCAGTTATCAACAGGATAATTGGGCTGAACTTTTAGCACATGCAGAGGTGGCATACAATAATTCTGTTCACAGCAGTACCAGCAGACCCCTTTCAAAGTTGTGTTTGGTCAAGACTTTGTACCGATTCCTGAATTGCCTCAAGAAAAACCACAAATTTTGTCCTTATCTGAGTGGATTGATCAACTTTGGAAATTTCGGCCCATGACCCGCAAATCATTGGATGCAGCTCATGAGGCTCACAAAAACAGGCGGATAAGAAACGGACTGAACCGAGAGAGTACAAAGTTGGGGATAGGGTATTTTTATCCACTAATTTCCTGCAAACCACCCAAAAATTGAAGAAGCTGGGCCCAAAGTATGTAGAACCGTTCCCCATTGTGAAAATCATAAATCCTGTATTGGTAAAATTGGAGTTAACAAAGACCCTTAGAAGAATTTATCCTGTGTTTCATGTGAATTTGTTAAAACCCGAACACACTTCTTCTTTTCATCCGCCTCAACCTTCACCTTCGGTCCCTCTTCTTATTGAGGGAGAGCAATATTTTGAGGTTAAAGAAATCTTGGACTCCAGAAAACATAGGGATCGCATTCAGTATTTGGTATCCTGGAAACATTTTCCCCCTTCTCAGCGGAATAGGTTGAAAAATCTCATATTAGAGCTCAGACTTTTATGGAAATTCTACTCCAGTTATCCTTGATTTAATATATTCTTGTTTTGTATTGTTTGTTTTCCTTTTCTCTTTTTCTGCAGGGATGATATTTCTCTTGAAGGAGGGCTAGATGTCAGCCTCTGCTTTGCTTGCTTGCTTTCGGCTGCCATGGAAATGGGGAGGAGGGCATGGTATTTGGGTTGGGAATAATTAGTACAGGAGGATTTGTCAACCAGGGAGTTTTGTTCTCACCATCGTCTGCGCATGCTGATAGCCGATGTTTGGACCTGGTCAAGGCCAACCGTCCTGCATACCAACCTGATGATGGACTTGGAGATGCAACTCACATGACACCTAAGGGAGATGCAGATTGGGCAATGGGGTGGGGGTTGTTGGGGGGAGGGGGCTGGGCAAATTTGATATGTATGATTTTGTGCTTTTCTGCCTCAGACCTTACTTTATTTCACTATTCATAACCAGTAAAAGTACTTTTAATTCCACAACTATTGGACTAAGAGGTTTCTTTCTTGGTTACTGAGGGAGGCATGCTTGACAGGGAGTAGATTAGTTTAGAATGCAATTTTGGATTTCAGACTGTTATTTTAAAAAACAAAGTTCTGTAATGTATATATTGCAGAATATGTCATTATCACAATTGTCTTAAATTGAATTCTCATTATTTTTACCAACAAATCCAGTGGAATCAGGCTATGGCAAACTAGCTGCAAAAAAAAAAAAAAACAAATGAAAGTGGAGATGACATTATCTATGTAACCACTAGGAACTGAGTTCAAAGGATACTTCACTGCTTTATATGACTTTTTAATAGTATTGTTTCTATATCTAGAT